TACGTTATATAAATATTTATTTAATATAATTAAAGTAAAAATATAAAAAGGGAAGCTTTAAAGTATTATATCTTCTTATAATAAATATACTAGTAAATGGTTTTATAAAAGCACTTAATAAATAGTAATTTAAACACTTTAAAAGCCTATTAAATTTAATAGATTTACGAATATAACCTAATATTTATAAGCTATATAAGTAAGAGAACTATTAAAGGGAGATATAAGATATATTTACCTTATAAATATAAGATTACCCTCTCCCTTTAAGGTAAAATATAATAGAAGGTAAACACGATTTTTTAAGGCTTTAATACCACGTAAAAGCAAGTATAGCTTACATTATAATAATGCTTAGTTAAGAAAAGAACTTATTTACTATAACACTAATTATAGCTTTTATACGAGCCTTTTTACGATTTAACGCTATTAAGAAGCCCCTAGTAGTAATATTAGCTCTAATATTATAAGACTTAACGTCTTTATAAATAAAGTTTAGCTTTATTAAGAGATTAAGTTATAATTATAGTGCCTTATAATACTAATTATACATTTATATACTTAAATAAGCGTTTAAATTATAATATTAGAGCGAGAAAGATTAACCTTTTTATTAACGTTTAGCGCTAATAATATTTACTTAGCTATAAGAATTAAAACGGGATTATTAACACGAGGTTAGCGTTTATTTAAGGCGTATTAAGTATAAAAATTAAAGAAGATAACGAAAAATAAGCTTATTAAGGCGTGTAAATGTAATTACTAGCCTTACACGAATAATAGCGCTTTAACCTGCCTTTAATTACCTTATAATACTAACCTTTCCCTTTACTAGTAATAGCTACTTAAATATAACCCTTATAAGGGATATTATAAAGTATATTAAGCTTAAGGGTAATAGCTTAAAAGCGCGTTAATAAGTTCTATTAATATATTAATAGCTTATAAAATAAGATACTAATAGTTTCTTAGCTTTACCTTATAAATATAAGATTACCCTCTCCCTTTAAGGTAAAATATAATAGAAGGTAAACACGATTTTTTAAGGCTTTAATACCACGTAAAAGCAAGTATAGCTTACATTATAATAATGCTTAGTTAAGAAAAGAACTTATTTACTATAACACTAATTATAGCTTTTATACGAGCCTTTTTACGATTTAACGCTATTAAGAAGCCCCTAGTAGTAATATTAGCTCTAATATTATAAGACTTAACGTCTTTATAAATAAAGTTTAGCTTTATTAAGAGATTAAGTTATAATTATAGTACCTTAATATTAGCATTATACATTTATATACTTAAATAAGCGTTTAAATTATAATATTAGAGCGAGAAAGATTAACCTTTTTATTAACGTTTAGCGCTAATAATATTTACTTAGCTATAAGAATTAAAACGGGATTATTAACACGAGGTTAGCGTTTATTTAAGGCGTATTAAGTATAAAAATTAAAGAAGATAACGAAAAATAAGCTTATTAAGGCGTGTAAATGTAATTACTAGCCTTACACGAATAATAGCGCTTTAACCTGCCTTTAATTACCTTATAATACTAACCTTTCCCTTTACTAATAATAGCTACCTAAATATACCCCTTATAAGGGATATTATAAAGTATATTAAGCTTAAGGGTAATAGCTTAAAAGCGCGTTAATAAGTTCTATTAATATATTAATAGCTTATAAAATATAATATTAATAGTTTCTTAGCTTTTTTAATAGTTAATTAACGTTTAATATATTAAGCTTTATTAACCTTTTAT